ATCTGGTAGGCCCTCACCACCGAGTTGGGGGCGCACCAGCGCACCAGCGCCGACGTGTCGGTGGTCTCGGCCACCGGCAGCAGCCTGGGGGGGTCCGGGAGGGTGTCATCCCCGCTGAGGCCCGGGCACCGGCACCGCCAGCGCCGCTGCAGCTCTGCGCACGGCGTCTGGAGGTGCCTGCAGGGGTGGTAATCGCAGGGGGCATCCCAGGCCGGTGCCCCCACCTCCTCCTCCTGGAGGTCCAGCCTCAGGACTGCAATCCCGCCCTCGGAAGGACGCGGGCGCGGAGCCACCGGGGTGGCCCATGTTGCCTGGTGGGGCTGGGGAGTGCTCAGTGGGTTCCGGGAGGCAGGGAAGAGAGCAGCGTGTTTGCTGGCCCATGGGGTGAAGGCAGCTGAAATGTTAGGCTCCCGAACAAGACGCGTAGCATGTTCTCGGTGCTCTGGCCCGGCGGTGCCCGCAGCCCTGCGTGGATGGCCGGAGTTGCTGGAACCTGCTGGAGAGGTGGTAGTGGAGGGGACGGCCCCCTCCTCCAAACGGCTGTACGGCCCGGTGGCTCGTGTGAGAGAATCCACAGGGAGGGAGGGAACCTTGGTGACACTCTGTCGGCCTCCCGTAGGTTGAGTGGAGGGGGTTGTGCTCTGCAGGGTGGAGGGACCCTGTATAGATGGTGCGTGTGTGGAACAGAACGAGGAGGGTGGGTTGGAATCAAGGAGGGTGGTGTTTTGGTCCAAATGGCACACACTGGGCAGCTGGGACAGCGAGAGTGGGACTGAGAAAGTGCCATCGGATCCTGGAGCTGGTGCACACAGAGTGTCTGCTGCCCTAGAGGGGAGGCCAACCGATTAGAAGGTATTTGGCATCAGGGCTACTTCAATGCTGGGTTTTGAGTCCTCAGTGCAGATAATCCCTCTCCCAAGCCTTGTGGCGCATCTGCCAGGTACCGTGTGGGACACATTCAACTCGCATCACCTCGCTGACCTTCAGGGCAACCCTCCACGCAGAGAAGGAAATGGGAACTCACAAAGATAAAGTAACTGCCCAAGGCAGCACGGCTAGCAAATGCAGAGCCTAAGGCCAGGGTGAGCGCTGTGGAGGGCAGTCGGAATGCTCTAAGTGTGATCTGCCATTTGATTTTCACCTGTCTGCTTCCTGGCAGTGAGAACTAGTAACAATACTCATACTAGCTAACAGTTTTTGAGGGCTTGCCATGTGCTGGGGACTATTTAATCTGCACTACCCCATGAGGTGGGCACTGTTATCCCCATTTTACAGATGAGGAGGTAGAGGCAGAGAGAAGTTAAGTAACAGCCAAAATCAGCAGTGGTAGGCAGTGTGAAGAGCCAGCACCCTCAACCGCTTCATTAATACCAGAGCAGGACCCTTCACTGCAAAGTACCTGGGTGCTTATCTTTGGAGGTGACAGGAAGGGGAGAGGGGGGCAGACGGAGCCACTTGATGTCCAGGCTTGGGTGGGAGGTGAGAAAAGAACCCCGCAGGATACGGCTCTCCAAGTGAGCGGCAAGGAGGATGGATTGACTGGTGGAGCTGGTTTGAGGGTCCTCAAGACTAGAGATGACCGTAGCCCCCATCCTCTCCCTGTGGCCAGCCTGGGCATGGTTCCCCCAACGTAAGACAGTTCTTCCAGCCAGCAGCCAGTGGGAAGTCTCCATAGAAATTCTTTTTCTCCTGTCCTGGGAGAACTCTATAAGCCCACTGGCCTTGGACTGAATGACACAGGCCAGGCTCCGTCTTAGAGACTCCGAGGGGCCCAGTGGTTAAGAGCACATTTTTGGAGGAAAGCAGATCCTGCCTCCTCCAGCCACTGGCTGCACGAATCTAAGCAAGTACCACTCCTCTTTGGGCCCTGATCTCTCATCTGTAAAATGGGGCAATGCTAACCCTGCTTTGGCAGTGACAAGCTAGCAGTTTACGTAGCCCATTTTTTTCCCCTACCTGGCACACAGCTAGACTACATTTCCCAGCCTTCCTTGCAGTAGGTGTGGCCTGCTGACTTCCCTCTGGCCAATGGGATGTGAGTGAAAGTAATGAGCACCTGGCCTGGCTCATTAAAACCTCCTGAGTCAGCTGCTCCACACCCTCTGCCTCTCTGGCTGCCTGGAAGGGAGGCAGAGCCTCCATCTCCTGGGTCCTTGAGTGTGACTACGTGGGGCAACAGCCACCCCACCCAACACTGCCAACCAGCCCTGCATGGTTACAATGAGCACATGAGCAAGACGTGAGCTGTGAGAACTTCAGCTCTGGAGGGCTGACCCTCAGCCCTCAGTCATCTGTTTTGTAAATGTGTTACCTGCTTAGGACAATCTTCTTTGCCTCAATGAGGAGCCATGATAACTCACAGCTGCAAGTGAGGGGGTTGCCGAAGAGGTTAATGGACAGGACCTCGGAGGAATGGAGGTTCCACGGGGGGAAGGAACTCAAGTTGCAGCTGAAATACACAAAAATCAATTTAAGTCAGGCTTTCACAGTCCGGTCAAAACTATTCCCAGAGAGCCGCGGTGGTGTCAAGGGAAAACCATTCTGTTAGGGGCTAGATGATACTGCTTTGGGCAAACTCTTAATGACCCTGGATTTTTTTTTCCCCCCATCTGTAGAAAACCAACCCAACCCAGTCAGTATCACCCCTTATAGCAAATGGAGACAATCCTCCCTGTTGTTGGTTACACCAAAAAGTCTGTGATGATGAAAGTGTTTATAAATGTAAATCTCTACATGAAAGTAAGATATTCTTATTACAGACTAGTCACAAGAAGTGGCAGGAAGTTTTAATGAATGAGAACACTCTTGACCATATACTGTTGCAGCTGATGGCACTCAACACCAGTCCTCTGCAAGTGTATTAGCTAGCTCTTGCTAACTTAGCTCAAAACAATAAATATTCTTTCTCATGATTCTGTGGGTTGACTCAGTGGTTCATTATGGGCTGGGCCAGGTCAGCTGGGCCTGGAAGGTCTAGGATGGCCTCACGTATATGCAGCCTCAGCTGGGTCTGTGGGGGGGCCTCTCGCCCTGTGTCTCTCATCACCCAGGAGGCTAGCCCGGGCTTGTGCACGTGGTGGTGGAGGGGTCCCCACCAGCAAGCCCCAATGCTCAACTGCTTTCATGTCTCTGTTTACATCACATTTGCTAACGTCCCTCTGGCCTAACAAGTCACGCACGGTCACGTCCAGCTTCCAGGGCTGGAGCACAGACTCCACTTTTTGATGGGAGGAGCTGCAAAGTCACACTGCAAAGGGGAGCGAGGACAGGGACGGGAGGAATTACTGGGGCCATTTTTGCAAACAGTCTACCACACCTAGCAACGGCCGGTCCCCCCTGACTCTCTGCTCTTTCTGCCTAGAGTCCCACAGAGTGTTTGGCCTCAACTCTCACAACTCCCAGAGTCTCCCGGCCTCCTGTACGCATTCTCAGTTATAATCTGAGCAGCAGGAGCTACATTTTATCTTCAGGCCTCTTCCAACCAAAGGCTGGCTTTTCTCCATCTGCCTGGAAACTGTCCACCTTCTCCTCCTGCTCTGGGGCAGATGCAGATGTTCTGAGCAAGGAAGGACCCACCACCCAGATCTGCCTGAATACTTCTGGCTGGTGGGTGCCTGACTGCTGTCCCCTGTGAGACACTGAATATATGTGTGTGCCATTTATACTGAAACGTAAGCCATACCCTCTATATGTGCATGCAAGTGTTTGCTTTTAGCAGGTTTCACAGAGCTAGAGTGGAAATCTTAGAATGGGTTTACTGAGCACTTCATCTTGCAAAGGAAGTGTTTTTCTTTTTTCCTGAAGGAGAAGAGGAAAAAGAAAAATATTTGGGACGGTAACAGTGCTGAGTGCTTCAGATACATTATCTCACTGATGTAATTATGTCAGTTCATGAGGTAGATAATACTTCAATCATCTTATACATCAGGAAAAGGAGTCCCTTCCTTATCTGGCGGCACTTGCTGCCACCCAGTGCAGCCTGCACGTGACAAAGACAAGCTGCAGCCCCAACCACAGGCTGAGGAACGGGAGTGCCTGCATCACATCCCGGCACGTGTCTGCATCCGGGCGCTCTCTGCACCTGGACTGGCAGAGCCCGAGTCTGGAGGAAGTTTCCGCTTGTCTTCTAAACAATCCCTTTTCTCTTTTTTTGCTGGAATCTCACCAAGGGGCTCTCCCTCCTGTGAGTAGCATTGTCAGAGGGCATTGGGCATGCCAGCAGAGCAGCCAGGAGGGTGTGGAAAAATGGAACCCTCCTACACTGTTGGTGGGAATGTAAACTGGTACAGCCACTATGGAGGACAGTCTGGAGGTTCCTTAAAAAACTAAAAATAGACTTACTGTATGATCCAGCAATCCCACTCCTGGGCATATATCCAGAGAAAAATATAATTCAAAAAGACACATGCACCCCAGTGTTCAGAGCAGCACTATTTACAATAGCCAAGACATGGAAACAACCCAAATGTCCATCTACAGATGACTGGATAAAGAAGATGTAGTGTGTGTGGGTGTGTGTGTGTGTATGTATGTATATATATGTATATATACACTCACACACACACAATGGACTACTACTCAGCCAATAAAAAAGAATGAAATAATGCCATTTGCAGCAACATGGATGGACCTGGAGATCATCATTCTAAGTGAAGTAAGCCAAAAAGAGAAAGAAAAGCCATATGATATCGTTTACATATGGAATCTAAAAAAAAAAGACACAAATGAACTCATCTACAAAACAGAAACAGGCTCACACACATAGAGAACAAACTTATGGTGACCAGGGGTAAAGGGGGTGGGAAGGGATAAATTGGAAATTTGAAAATTGTACCTCTTGGGGAGTGATGGAGCTGTTAACTATCTTGGTTGTGGTGGTGGTTGCATGGCTGTATACGTGTATCAAAATTCATCAGATTGTACACCTGAAATATGTGTAGTTTACTGGACAGGGACCATACCACAATAAAGGTGTTTAAAAAAAGTTATAAGAAGTGGAACTAGCCAAGGACCTTAAGCAGCTCTATTCAGGAAGGCTGGAGAAGCACCAGGGCAGCATCCTGAGGACAAGGGGACAGAGAGCCTCAATAGAGAGGAAAGAATCGACAAGGGGCTTGATGGATAGAGAAGTGTCCCCTGGGCTTAGCAGCTGAAATGCCGCTGGATCCATTCCATCGTGAAGCTGAAGTGGGCGGTCAGACTGCAGGGAACCGAGAAGCGCAGGGATGAGAGGAGGCAGTCACCACTTCTGAATCAGGGATGCCTGCTTTTCTTGGGGGTCTGGGTTGCCTTTCTCCACCTGGTGAGTTTGGACTCACCGTTGAAGATATGGATCAATTACGTTCTTCCTCCAGCCTGCTGGAGCTGATCATTAACCCCACTTGCCTGATAACACTGTACGGGCGTGTGCCTCTGTTACTGATCCCAGTGTATCATGACAGCTGTCGGATGTCTGCTGCCTACACTGAACTCTGTGCTTCCTGAAAGCAGGGGCCATGCTGTTATGCTGTCATCATCGCCACCACCATCATCATCCATCAACATCATCGTTTACTGGTATCTTCACCACTATCCCTATCAGCATCATCACCACCATCACCTGATGCCTCCTCTGCCATCTCTGTGCCAAGGATGCTCCGTTAGGTATCTCCAGCCCAGGACTTCCAGGAGCTCAGGGCTCATGTTATCTAGCTGTCTGCTGTATGCTGAAAGACCTACGAGACATCCAGTGGAGATGCCCAGCAGTAATAACACAAACCTCTTGTTCTGTGCCAGGCGTTGCTCTAGGTATATATCAAGGCATTTCCTCTCACTAATCCATTGGGGGAAGATACGTTCATTATCCCCATTTCGCAGATGAGGAAACCAAGCCACAGAGACCTTTGGTAACTTGCGTCAACTCACACAGCTAGTAAGTGGTGGAGTCAGGATTGAGCCCAGGCAGTTTGGTTCCACATCTGATAAAGTTAAACAACGCTGCATCAGTCTGAAGCTCAAAAGAGGAGTCTGAGCCAGAGATATCACTCTTATCCACATCATCATCACCACCGTCACCATCACCATCACCAATTCAGCATCATTACCAACATCATCACCATCATCACAGTCACTGTTACCCTCATCACCATGACTGTCATCATCATATCACCTTCATCACAACCACCATCATCTTCACTAATGTTATAGAGCACACAGCGTGCCAGACACTGAGCTCTGCACTGTCCATCTCCTTTTCCCTCATGACAAGCCCCAAAGTGAAGTACTCTGGCTGTGACTGGAGCTGGCAGAGGGAAAAAAGCTACTCTGAGAGTGATGGTGGGGCAATGGGGCTTTCTTCCCCAGGCCCAAGTGTGGGCCCCCAGGAAAGGAGGTGGCCTGGGATCATCTTCAAAGGGACACTACCTTTTCTGTTAGAAGTCAGGACAGTAGTTGCTCTTGGGAAGGAGGGTTCATATAGTGACACTTTGGACATCACTGGGCCAGAGGGCACCAAACTCAGGTCCTGATGCAAGCAGGACTTTTCTACCCTTTCACTTTTCCTCTGTGGACCTGGAGGGGCCGACATGCATAAACGCATGGGGAAGCAGGTGGATGGAGAAATAGACAAAACCCTGATCCCCTCTTCCCACTGCAAGTTTCTCATTCCTGGGCTCAAAGGAAACTTTACATGCATGAGAGTTTAGAGCTTTAACATTACTCTGGACAGGACTGAGCTTCCTGGATGGACTATCTGGGATGCGCCTACAATATCATCCAAAGGATGAGGAAGAACAAGACCCTGGAGAGGATTTGAAAGAGCAGAGGAAGGAAATGGAAGGTCTAGTCTGTTCTATAAAATAGTTACACCTATTCAACTTAGTGGAACAGGCAAAAATCAACCATGTGATTCAGAAACACTTACTTCTGGAATAGGAGGACCTGTAGGCGAGGAGTGTCTTGAAAGATGTGCGTATGGACAGACGTAAGTGCTGGCGAATCTTGACAGTCCAGCAGCTGCAGCTCAGGGGTGGTCTTGAATATGTCTCCCTCCAAGCTCCTCAGTCTGGGCATCTTCCTCAGGTAGAGGGACTTGAGCTTTGGCAAGTCTCTGATCCATCCCGACTGAACTAAAACAGAGGGAAAGCTGCCTGCTGCTGAGAAGGCACAAACTCAGGAGGCTGGCTAGGAGTTGAGGAAATAATGAGCGACAAGGTGAGTGGTGAAGATCATTGCTGAGCATGGGCACGGCGGGCAGCTTTAGGAATCTCAGAAGCGTGGGCTGAGTTTTCAGCCCGAAGGGCCATCAGAGATGGCCAGTTCTACATTTTTCAGCCCTAGGCGGCTGAAGCCCCAGAGAAGAATGGCCAAAGGCCACACAGCTCAGAAGGGCCATGGCTAGGGCTTGACCCCAGGACACTGTCTCCAAGTCTGATGTTGGCCCACCCTCTTGTTAAACTCCACAGGGACACAGCCCAGCCTTTACTCTGACGGCTGCCTGGAGGCGGGGAATCTTTGAGGAATGTAAGGAAGGTGGAGAGGAGGAGGTTCAGAACCTGTAATAAATGGAGAGTGTGCCCCTTCGCCTCTGTTTACTGTTCTTGCCCTTTGTTCTCTTGTCTGTGGAGAAACAAGTGATTATAGACACGTGAAGTGTTTTTGTTTTGAATAAAACCAATCTTGTGAACCCGTCAGAGTTCGCCATGTGCGGGAGAACCAGTATTATCACTTCCCTCCTGCGTCTTGTTTGAAGGATTTAACATTCACAGACGCAGTTTGAGCCAACCGAGTAGAAATCAATGAATGCATCCTCAGAGCATCCGGTGCTTCACATGAACTAATTGGTGCTAAGTTGGTCCATTAATGAATCAGCCCCAAAGCGCTGCATCCACTCCCCACGCTACCAGCACTGCCCGGCCCCGCTGGGGAGCGGTGGGACAGAGCGGCGAAAAGCGTGGGCTCTGGACCCCGAACGTCTGGCTTTGGATGTGGAGGCACTGCTAGTGAGCTGTGGGGCCGTGGGCCAGCCATTCCGCTTTCTCTGCCCTGGCCCCCTCGCAGGCAGAACAGGGACAGTAGTCCCCATCTCTCGGGAC